GCCCTTCCTAATCATGGAATCATAGAATAGTTAAGGTTGGAAAGGACCTTACGATCATCAAGTTCCAACCCCCCTGCCATGGGCAGGGACACCTTGCTCTAAACCATATTACCCAAGGCCTCGTCCAACCTAGCCTTGAACACTGCCAGGGATGGCGCATTCACAACCTCCTTGGGCAACCTATTCCAGTGCCTCACTACCCTAACAGGAAAGAATTTCCTCCTTATATCCAATCTAAACTTCCCCTGTTTAAGTTTTTACCCATTACCCCTTGTCCTATCACTACAGTCTCTAATGAGGAGTCCCTCCCCAGCATCCCTATAGGCCCCCTTCAGATACTGGAAGGCTGCTATGAGGTCTCCATGCAGCCTTCTCTTCTCCAGGCTGAAGTCCCAACTTTCTCAGCCTATCTTCATATGGGAGGTGCTCCAGTCCCCTGATCATTCTCGTGGCCCTCCTCTGGACCACAACCTGTCCCTGATATTAATACTTAATGAAGAGCCCTTCTTGGATTTTATTATCAAGTCAGAAATCTAAAATCACAGAAATCATAATCTCAGTAAGGACAAATGCCTCCATTTGGGAAAAAACATTGTATCTAACATAGCATATACAGATGCACTAAACCAGAATTTTCTAGCCTAGTAATTTCAAAAGCTACAACTTACGGAATCATTGCAAGAGAGTAATAATGAACATGTCAACCCCATAACATATATAATAAAATGCTACATTTTGTTTAGTTTTTGTAAATTTAGTAGTCCTGCAGATGTGACATGGGAAAATATCCCATAAGATGAAATAAGTACACAGAATCAGAACCAGGACTAAACGTACGATTTTTGCAAACGCACACTTAGTAACATTTGGGATGATAGGAGACAAGTTAAACTAGTCATAATCTTAATTACAGCAATATGGAAGATTATAAAAATAGCTGCAATACATTAATTTCATTTGCCTGTTAATTTCATGCATTCACAGAACTATACATATAGCCAGTTAGGTACGTGAGATTTCACAATAGGGAAAAGGGATGCAGTTCCACCAAAAAACCCCAACCAAAAAACAACAAACCCCAAGCCCCCAAAGACACACCACAGGCATTGGCAAGGGACTCAGGTGCAGAAAGAGATCCTGACATTTAAAACAAGGACTTTTCAAGTTGTCAGCATCTCTTTTAACTTGCTTTCCAGACAGATTTTGGATAGATTTGAGGTTTGGGAATGAACATTGTTCCAATCTTGTTTTTTGCCACTGCAGGACAGGTAGTACAGCGCTGGATGGAATTAATCTGTTTAGTATTCTAAAGCCGCGTATCTAACCTAAAGTAAATCATAGCTTCCACAGTCTCCAGAGATGCTCTCTAGAACGTGATTCATTCTACTTTCCTTAAATATCTATCTGAGGAGATTAATAGCTCTCTAGAGGTGCCAAGATTCCTTCCTTAAACTAGATGTTTAACTTTCACAGAGCTAGCACTCAGTGAGATGAATTCTACTCACTGTGTACCATAATTACATCTTGTATCTGGAAAAGTTGGCATGAGAGCTCCAATGAAAGAACCAGGCAGTAGAAACAAGGGTCTTCCTTTTTTTTTTTTCTCCTCTTTTGGTATGTAATTTGGACTTTTGAGGACACAGGGATTGTAGAGGTACAAACTCCTACGCAAAACTGGTTTTCCATGCAAGTCCTGCTCACTAATGTACTTAATCATGTGCATAATTTAAATAACAGAAACCCCATCTATTTCCATAGAGCTATCTAGTCAGCTCAGAATTCTGAATACATGGAAGGACACTACTGAACTGAAGCCTTTAAAAATTGGGAAGTTGCTTTAAATGACAAAATTATCATATTCATTTTAAAATTATCAAAAGAGTGACATCTCTGCCTACAGGCCATCCCACACCAACTTCATACAGATAGTATGTAAAGCTCCCCTTTAGTTCTTTAGTTTAAGAACAGGAGTACTTCAGAGCAAGCCTCTTTTTTTTGGATGTGTTTGCAATGGATTTTTTAACTTTTGCTGCCAAAGTGCATCTTTTACAATGCTTCACAAAGACAGACAAGATCAAAAGACAAGATAAAAGGAAATGTAATATCCTCAAAAGTATAATTTAGGTAACATGATTGAGGGATGGTCTAGTGTTGGAGATGATGACCCAATTCCAAAATAATTAAATTCCTCCAACTAAGGAATCGCCATCATTCAGTTTGGATTAAATAAAACTAGAGTAAGTTTCCCTCTATGTGACTACTTCACAAGGAGACAGTTCACAGTAGTTATTGGAGTTTGCACTCACACTCTACGATACCCTGTAATACCTTTCACGTGTAAACAAACCAAAAGGCACTTAGGCAAAGCATCACAGGAAATCTAGCACACCTCCTGCCCAGGCTTTTCCTGCTGCATGGGTGGAGAGGAGCTCAGTCTCTAGGTACAGTAAAAGAACAGTTGAAAACAGAACTGCCATGAAACACCCTTTGCTATCATTACATTCACATCATAAAAGTAATTTCTACATGAAAAACTTTGAGACTTATACATTTAAGTATGTACACACATACAAAAAAAATCCTAGACACATACATGCATGTATATATAATTTATACATACACATGTATACATATACACACAGAAATATAAAATAGTACAACTAAGAAGACAGTGATCTATTTTTGCTACTTTGTGATGTATAAGGAAGGTCTAAAAGCATGTTACTGTCTTTGCCCAGGAAATACTAGAAATGTCAAGTCTGGTCTATGCTCTCTTTGCTGGAAGACATATAAAGCCACAGCTAAAAGAGCTTCTTACCCGTTGTTTGAAGTTTAAAGTCTACAACTACAGATGGAAGTCTTTCCCAATTATTTCTCAGCTATTTGAATTAACTGTGTTAGCAATAGCTGAGTTTTAAATAGTCCAAATAAAAAGCAGCCTTCAATTTATCTTTCAAGTGACAAAAGGATTCCTAACAGAACCGATTTCAAACTGAAGGCACAATGGAAGAAAAAAAAAAATCCTTTAGTATGAACAAAACATCAATTTAAACCTCCTTTATACTACCTAAAAAGCAATAGAGAATGAAATCCTTTACACATACATGATTACAAAACCTCTTATTTGATTCATTGATGCTATAGATGTGAAACTGTATTATTTACCAAGTTTACCAGTTCGAAGGCACAATGGCTATCACTTCATCCACATCCCATTCTATTTACAGAGAAAAACAAGGATCATAAAGGAAAAAAAAGGAGATAAATACAGATGCACCCTGAGAAGTGAAATTTCACAACAAAAGCGTTTGTTTTGAAACACTGTTCTTTGTAAACTCACATTATCTGAACCCGTGTTCTCTAAAACAATAATGTTTAATACTCAATTACAAGGAAAAATATTACTTGTAGGAAAAAAAAGTAAAAGCTTAAGTTCCCAGAAAAATAAATCAATCAAACCTGATTGAAATAAATGAGGTCTCATATAGAAGCACACCAAAGCTGACAACTGTCAGTGTGGAAAAAATGTAAATCAAGCTAAAGATCTCTTGACAATGTCCAGTTTTCTGGGAAAAAAAAATAATGGAATGGAATAATCTGGTTGGAAATCCCATAGTGCCATCTGTGTGGAAGAAAAATCAAAAAGCCAACTGTGCATGCCCTTCTTTGGATTTGGAATTCCCAAAAGTTTCTGTAAAATGGAAAAATCTGACAAAAAAGGTCATTCTATGAGATTAGATAAACGTTCTGTAGCTGTTTCATGACATGGTTTATAAAGTATTGGCACCAGCACAAAGAGTTCAAAGCGTTCATTCAGGAGTCACGGAGATTGTCAAATCTTCAGTGATTCGTATCAGTCCTCTAGTAGAAGTCAGTTATTTACTGCATAAACTGAAGTATTCTTTGCCAGTGATCTTCAGTGCAATAATGTTCTTTTGCCAGACAAAATAATGTTATTATTATTCCAGTAGGTAATAAGTGCCATCAATACAAGAATAGTGGAATTAATATCAAATGACAAGCTATATTTCATGGTCCATATCCACCAACGGTGGCTATAAAGATAAAATTCTAAACTCAAGCTGTACATAGCAACATACCGTAGCAGTGGTACTCAAGGAAAAAAAAAAAAAAAAAAAGGAAAAAAAGGAGAAAATCCTCATCCAAGAAAGTGCAAAAGGAAGAAACCTCCAGAATTTGTCCATTGATAGTTTTCTGTCTTCAGAGGCTGAACAGTGCTAAAGAGAGTGTAATAGTACCTTGAGTGATCACCTCTTGGAAAACAAAACCAAACCAAATCCAATGCTAATGTTTGGTGATTATTAAATCACCAAATCACATTGCCCTTGTTTCAAACCCACTATACTATATTTTCACTGCTGTTTTACCTAAGATGCTTGGTTTTACACTTGACAATAGATTTGATGCCAGCGTAATGCATTAGCCTAAGTCTATTTTTCATGGTACTCTGCATGATAACCAGATGTGCCACAAATCAAGTCTTGACCATGACAGAAATTTGAAACAAAAATTGCTCTGTAGTTTTCTACACATTACCAGTTATGACACTAAATACCTGGCTCCAACTTTACATCCAATACCAAGAAGCATCTGGCAATTTTCTCTTTTGCTTCTGCTCTAAGTTCAGGTGGAAGGTTCTTTCATTTATTGGTTGTGTCACTTAGGCTGGACTGTAAAGCATCACATCTATTTCAGGTGAAGGAAAGGAGAAAAATGTATCAGATGCAATTCATTGCCAAAAATCCGAAGACGACAAAGTGTCTTTTCAATCCATTCTTACAATCATAAATAGGTTTTCAAACAACTAACTCTAGGCCAGATCGTAACATCTTATGCTGCAGACCAAGCAAGAATGCTACAGTATCTAGGTATATACAAATACATTTGTATGCACTCATATATACACATACAAAAACTTACACATAAAAAGGAAGCACCCATTTTTTCTTACCGATAAATATTGAAATTCTGCTTCCATCTGGATATAAACAGAATTCATTGTGTGTAACACTCTATAAAGGGACATTTAAGACAATGTTATTAATTTCCTTCTCATTAAAGCCACATAGATGGCTTGTATTTAAAAACATGCAGTGCCACCAATTAATACAGAGTAAAACAATTCTTAGGTGCAATATCAACTCTTTAAGAAACGCACAATTTACTTATATGTATTTTACCCATTTATTTTATTATATTTTTTTAGATAATTAATACTTTCCACTATTTCATAGCAGTTTTATAGTCTTCTTAAAAAAAGTCAGCACAAATTCACAGGAAACAACTCTGTCAAATGAATTTCACAGCAGCTTAAGTAGTGAGTCACTGAGTGAAACTCTTTTTTATGAACACATTAGGAAAGTTGGCATTCAGTTCTAGGACAACTCTATTGTCAATCTGTGAACAGAACGACACATCGAGTAAAGAAAGATCTTTACAAGACTCCAGCAATTTTCTTAAAGATGCAGGGCTTACCATCCTTGTCCCTGTTCAAAAACAAAAAAAGAAACAAAGCAAATTGTAAAGTTAGTGAGAATAACACTTTTTCTTTTTTTTTTTTCTTAAAGCTACTTGATACTGTGTTATGAAAAAATGCTACTGTAACACAATTTTTATTAGGACCTGTGAACCCAGAGGAGGAGAACCATGCCTTACTGGAACATGTGGAAGCTAGGCAGGCTACTCTGGTCAAGTGAACTAAGCCTGGATGACCATAGTGGGATAAAAAAAGCTCTTCCGGCTCTATAATTTATACATCCAACATGACTGCACACACCTGTCAGTAAACACTTCAACTTACACAGCTCCACCTTGAGCTGAACTGCACCCCAAAAAGCTACCCAGCCCAGGATCTTGTCTATGGTCAAGGCCAATATTATTTACAGAAAAATAAGCCAACGAAGAAACAAACAAACAAAACCCCCAACACAACAACAAAAACCCAAAGAAAAAAAACCCAAACCCAACCCCAAACCAAAACCCAACCCCAAAACCAACAATTGCCCCCCATATAAACCTTGAACACACTATTAATTGCAATAACTAAGGGGCAATGAATCACAAATAAGCAGTGAGAGATCACTCCCATTAAACTATTTCCACATCATTTATAATCCTGTGGACATCTTTCTGTTCCCTCAAGGCTGCCTGTTTTTCCTGACTCCTTTGCATCTCTGATGACCCGTTATCTTGTTTCTGCATTAATTTAGTACTTTTAAAATTGGACAACTAGAGCTATACAGTGCACTAAGCACAGAGCCAGTAAGTCTAAAAGAGGTCTTACGGTGTTTTCCCCATTTCTTTCCTAAAATACCTTAAAATTCTCTTTGCCTGTCAGAATGATGCTGAGCAATGAGCTAATGTTTTCCAAAAATTGCCCACAGGATTTCCTTCCTACTAAACAGTAACTAACATAAAGTTCCCTCCCCCTATATTCTTAGTGAATGTTATTTTGCCTCATGCAATAACTTTGCATTTGATGGAATGTTTTCTTCCTGCTTTATCACCTGTTTACTAAGTATCAGATGATAACGCAGGATGAAATCATTCTGTATTTTTTCAGTGTTAAATTCTTCAGTTTAAGATTTTTCTACCCTGAATGGCTGTGCATTACCCTCTGGTAATGCATTATCCACCCCTTTGCCTGGATTACTTATAAGCAGGTCAGTACAGAACCCCAGTGACTACAGTAATGACATAACTTCACTGTTCTTGTCCTCTGTTGTCTTTGAAACACTCATAACCCAGAAGAAGACAGCTAAGTCACAAAAGCAGAAAAACCTTGGCTGAAGCTTTTGAAAATCCCAACCTTTATGGACTGGATCATGATCATGAGGATCTCCAAGGAATTCTAAAAGACTGGAGAGCATAACTACGCTATCGTCACAGGGATGCAGCTCTCCCTCAAAATATCATAATGGCCTTCATTCCACCAACTGACTTCATGGTTGCAACTGGTTTTGACAGAGCAAAAGGTGATCTTACTGTTTTGTTGCTTCTAACCTGCACCTTTTAGAGAAGCTTGTCCCATTTCCGTAACCCTTCATTTCTCTAGCGCTAAGGCTGATTTAAGTGACAGACCACACACCAGAAATAAGATTTCCACAGCTCTGTATTTAAGCTCATTTAGAACGGCTGCATAAATACTATTTAGCCCTAACAATTTATTATTGTTCAATGTATTGATTTGTTCAAAAGCTTTCTGTATTGGCATTCCAATTTAAAGCAGCTTTCCAGGCTAATCTCCTGGAAAGACTGACTCTGATGTAGCAGCCTACTTGATCCTCCTTGCCACGAACCCTAAAGACAGACAACAGTTCTGCTGCAATGGCCTTCCTGATCTGAGTAATCCTTCACATCTGGAGTATCTACCAACCTCAGTAACTCTCCTGTAAACCTCTTTTAACATATCTGAAAATACAGTTCTAGCATTTACCTTTACCAATAGTTCCTTAATATCTCATACTGCCTTACTGTGATTTTGTTTCACTTTTTAAAGTTCATCTTCCTATTTTCCTTCTCTGAACAGGAATTATTTCCAGAAAGATGCCTCTGTTTTTAGTAGTCTCCTGTACAATTCTGTGTAAACAAGGGGGTATCTAACTGTAGTCTTCACTTCTTTTACGACAGGCTCTTAAATTAGTTGCTTTGAGATATCATTTAACATCACCCAAAACCCAATCTTTCCTATCATGCCCACAAATTTTACTTCACCTCCAGGGAGGTAACCAGAGCTTGTCATTATTATTGTGACTTTTAACTCCCTTACCATTACATGATCACCGTCACCACAACTGTCTGGTGGTTGATGTAACAGTCCCTGTGGCCATATACAGAAATTCTGTAATACACTTTCAGTTATTCACTTTGCTTGACCATAAATTTTACCACTGTCCTACCATCAGGATCTGCTCTACCATTCCAAACGAAACTCTAAAAACAACATATTATGCTACTCCTGGGGTTTTTTTACCAAGCCTTAAAATTGCTACTGAATCAGCACCTTCATTTAAAACCAGTCTTATTTACGCATAACAGCTTTTACGCTTCAAGATCCAAATGTGTGTTTCTACAAAAAAATGCCAGATCTAGATGCCTAGTCACAGATTCTTTTTGTGTAGGATGTTCTTCATCCCTTCCTACCTGAACTTCGACAGTTCTCCTACCGTTTCGTCTAAGTTACAAATCCATTAAAGATCTCAGTCTAAGTAGGACATCCTAAATTGCATGTTTTACTGCACCTGTTTCTTTTTTCCTCTTCAGACTTACAATTTTATGTTAGGGAATATCTTTTTTCAAAAAGCTAAAAAGCCCAGCAACCTGGGTGGGGTTTGCTTAGAAACACCACAGGATAGGCAAGCATCATCTGCAGTCATACTTTTATTTACACAATGTACACTTAGCTATGTGGTTTCTTAAAAGCATATTCAAAAGCACTTCTGAAGTGTAATACATGTTTTCCTTTGCTTTTGAAAGACTGACAACATATCCTGCATTATTCTAGAGTTCAGAGGCTTTTGGACCTTTGTTACTTACAACTTCTCTTACATGGACTAATCAAACATTTCTCAGAATAAATACATAACCAGTATATTAAAATCTGTTATTTAATTTTGTTGTTTGGCATAAAGGCACTTCTGAGTAATGATTTGTTTACTAGAATGATTATGTTTATTGCCTGTAAATTATTTCATTTATAGCATATATCAAAGTCTTCAAACTGTAGAGATGTTTAGAAGACCTGTGCATGACGGCTATAAAACATGTTACAGCCCTGATCTATAGGGCAAGGGATATCACTACACATTAAATGATATTTAAGAGTAGAGACTCTAAAAAATATCAAGCACTATCCCCTCAAATGTTCTTACTTTTCCTTTCCTTAGAGCAGCCAGACCAGCCTTTTATTCCTTACATTTTATTCAATCTATTGTCCACAACTCAAATTCAAAATTTTAGCCTTCTACATATTTTCATGTTTGAATTGACTAACTACGTGTTGATGCTCTCAAGATAAAGCTGAAAATTTTGACAGCTGGCAAGGGGGCAGTTGGGTTTTCTGCTGCTCAGGAAGGTGTGGGAGGTGTTGGTATGTAGATAGGAATACATAAATTTTGTGTTAACAAGGGCATCTACTTTTCATTACCCTTTTTGTGCAGGACACAGGCAGTCACGAATTTTGGGCAGTGAGGTTAAGATGACTTATTCTTCACCCTTGACAGCAGCTGGTAGCCCCACAGCAACAGAACAAAGCAGCTGATATAATGTACAAGAAAAGCTTTTGGCACTGCCAATTCAGGTTGTCATCTGACTTGTCACACTGCTCAGTGCTGATCACAGTTTGAAGACTAGTTTTTAACTACAGGTCTAGAGGTGTCCACAACTTTTGATAGCCCTGGATGATGCACTCCATTACCACAAAACTGTCAGATGATCACAGCTGGATCACTCTACGGCAGAGTAGAAACCTGCCATGTCAGTCACTGGAAAAGTTGCGGGCAGAGAAGGAAATGATACCTGTAAGCAGCTTTGTATGTAATGAGTAAAAGAAACCCCAGAACTAAAACTTCAAGAAGCACACCCTCACTTACTCAGTGACATGCATCATGCTTCATCTTCCAAACTGTATCATAATACAGCATAGATCCAACCCATGATTTATTTTTTTTAAACAGAAGTTTACTTTCTGAAGTATGTATTACACACCACAAACACACCTACCATCAAATAATGCTTTATATGAGCCAATAAGTTTGGCAATTTTAATCTTGTATGGAGTGCTCTGATTATGTAACAAGGGAATTGCCAAATGATAATGGTAAAGGACAGACAGGTAGCAAGCCACAGTACCTGAAAACAGCATCCAGGGTATATATAACATTCATTTTGTAATATTTAAATGAAAGGCACAGAGTTCAAAATTTCTATCAGAGGCTTAGACTCTTCCAGTCCTGAAGCTATTGTGATGATAAATAATCTATAATCAAAACAAGAAGTTTGCCCTGACAATTTTTTCAGTTCTAACAACTGCAGAGAAACCAGGCTAGCATTGTCAGCTCTGGTGACTACAGTGCAAGGTATGACATTCTGATCCCTACTTAGTTAAGCATAAAAAACCTCAAGCTTTTAAACAGGTTGCTGAAGCAAAAGAAATTCCCTTATGATGTGCACTGCTAACCTATCAGCAACACTCCTACACCTTTTACAAGGCATGTACAAGCCAGATATTTCTGTACTTTGGAGATGACAAAGGATATAATGAGAGCACCTCTCATTCTTTCACATCACAGAGAAGACCCACTGTTCAAGGTTACTCTTGCAAAGCTAAGCACTGACCTCAGATCTCTAACAGCTTCAGACCTGTTGTCACACTCATTCAAAAGTACAAAAACATATTAAGCATTTCTGTAGCTTACAGTAACAGGATGGCCCTACATCAGCTGCGAAAAGTTAGAGCACATACAGATATTTACCACTTTCTTGGTACTCCTGCACTGTGAGAGACTAGCTCTTTAGATCAGACAACAAAGATTTCTGCACTTACATGGGAACACCTGGCAACTCTGCCTCCAGATGACCTGGTGTGGTTCTACTTGACAACTCTTCCCTTTAACCACAGGCTGTAATGATTCCCGTATTCAGACAAAGAAATGAACACAGTTTCTTTGGTGTTGACAAAAAAGCTAAATAACTCTTCCACACATATTGTATCACGTTGTACTGACTCATTTACAGCAGAAGACAACATTCTTTCCACTCTACCAAGTATTCCCCTGAAGGAAAAATGTGAGGTCTGGAAGACAGATATTAGTTTTTTGGTAACACAGAATCATAGAATAGTTAGGGTTGGAAAGGACCTTAAGATCATCAAGTTCCAACCCCCTGCCATGGGCAGGGACACCCCATACTAAACCATGTCACTCAAGGCTCTGTCCAACCTGGCCTTGAACAGTTTGGGATGGAGCATTCACAACTTCCCTGGGCAATCCATTCCAGTGCCTCACCACCCTCACAGTAAAGAACTTCTTCCTTATATCCAAACTTCCCCTGTTTAAGTTTTAACTCATTACCCCTTCTTTTGGATAGTTTACTTGGACATCCCCCGGAAAGCATTTATCTGAACACAACATGCTGTCTCACTGGGAAAGGTTTACTACAAGTCCACTTGACTCAGGAATATGGGCAAGCACACAGAGAATAGAACAAATTCCTTTTCCACGTTCACGTTTCATTTGTCCACAGAAATGTCAGCAAGACGTCAAACTAAATTCAAACGTGAATTCAAATGCTGAAGAAGCTTGGCAACAAACCTTCACTGCCAGCAGAGAGGCAACAGAAGTAGCAAGACTATCCACAGGATTTAACACAGCCAAACTATTCATTGGGCAGCCTCTGGTGTAATGAAAAGGTCAGACTACTTTGTGGGCAGACACAATGCCGTTGTAACAGAAATGCATGGAAGTGGGTGGTCAGGGCAACATACGTGTTTATGAAAGACTTCATTCACCATGGCGTTTGGAAATGTTTCATGTCTGAAGAGGGAAATGTGATGTTGATAATCTAGCTACAAAGTAAGATTCCTTAGGGATACACAAAAGATATTACCTCCTGTGGACACACACATCAAATCTCTACAATTTGTATTAGGTGGAATTAAGTTTTTAGCTGTTCATCATTTCTTCCCATGCTGGTCAGAAGGCAACTTCCTCAGAGATGAGTAGAAACATATTTCATGATACAAGACTGTACTAGCTACACTGGAATGACAATCTGAAGTCATATGGTAAATTTTTTGTAATGAGAAATGCTGATAGCCTTAAACTTGTTTGAAACATTATTCAACCTGAGGCCTCTCAGTTCTTTACAGCATTGCTCTCAAATGTAATATTTTCATTTAAAGTATTAAAAATTGAAAATACACAATGCAGTTACTTTACTTCCTTTCATTTAAATCTTCCCTTTTCAATTAGTCCTATGAAAATAAGTCAGTAAAAGCACGAAGACATTTCTCCCACACTGATGTCGCAAATATCCCTGCTGTCCTACATTATTTTAAAAAGAAAACCTCACATTCCACCATAAAAAGAATAAATTTAGTATCATGTAAAACTGTATTCTAAGTCCTTACTCAAGAGCCCAAACTGTATTTACATTTCTAAAAATATTTTTAACTATAGAAGCCGTAGAGGATTAGAAATTCAAGGTTTGCTATACCTTTTGCCCCTCATCACCTCCTTCACACCTTACTAGAAAGTGCATTTTAAGTTTTGCTGTTAATTACCTTTTCCTCTTTAATGAGTCAAACTCACTTCTTGGTAAAAGTGACAATGAAATTCAATATTGCTTGATATATCTGTACTGCGTAAAAGCAAAAATCTGTTTATTGACCACAGACTCACGCTATAAATACACTTTGTCATGCTTCAAAGGAATAAAACAGCAAAAGCAGAAAGAAGGTTAAGATATTGCATCTTTTGATAGTCAGAAGAAAAAGACTTCAGTGTAAAAAAATAATGGTCATGAAACTAAAAGCTACTGAAAAAACCCTGCACTTAAATCTCAGTTTAAGCAATTCACACTAAGTAGTCAAATTACACGGTTGGTACAAATACACTGGATTCTGAGTCAGAAATACACTGCAGTGAGTAAAACTTTTTTTTAATTTTAAACCATAATTTTAAGGAATATTTATTTAGAAATATGTCTAGAAGACGGTTTTGTCTTAAGGACTCCTTAACTGCACAAATTCTGAGACACGGTAAGATAAAAAACAGTATTCACACATTTTCTTACCTAATATATCCAGCTGCCGTAAATGCGTACAGTTAGCAGCAAGCTCCTCAATGTCTGTGTCACACACAGACCTGTTGGCCGTAAGAAAGAGCTTTTGCAGGTTTGGGAGTTTACGTGCAAGGTTTGTGAAACAGCCTGTACTGCTCTGTAATGTAGGGCACCAGCCAAGATCAAGTTCTTCCAAAAGCTGGCAGCCTGACGCCAATTCTGCTATTCCACTTTCAGTTATGTTTTTGCATCTCCACAAATCCAGACTCCGAAGCTTTTTGCATTTTGCTCCCATCATGCTTGCTACAAGATCATAGTCTTCAATCTGCAAGGAAAGCAAACAATTTGTCATCTATACCATCTTTCCAGACATACATAGGTGTTTCAAGATTTGCTTGCTAACACACCTACAGATCCGTTTTAAGCATTTGTCATTTCTAAAGAGCTCTGAAAACTATTATTTAGTAGAGGCTTCCTTTTTAAAACAACAAAAATAAAATAAATTTCCTATCAAACCCCAGATATAGGTGCCTTTAATTCACTTAATACTAAGGATCAGTGAAAAGGCAGTGAAAAGGTTTTTTTTCTCTGAACACACCCACCACCCCCCCCTTTTTTTCCACAATTGTTTTTCTTTTAAAAGATGATTAAAACTGATTTTTATGACCATGGGCATTGCAACCATAAGCACATGCAGATTAAAGAATATGCCTCTTTCCATTCTAGGCTGACCAGTTGCTGCATCTTCTGATGGAAATCTTACTGGTTACTTTGGGCAAGCCAAAGGGACTGAAACAAAGGCCAAAACATACAGGCAGAAAAAATGAAATCCACTAGCAAAAACCATAGGATAATAAGGACTGTTGAAAAAACAGTCAACACTGCCTTCCTCTTCTGTCCAAGAGTCAAAGCATGGAAGGCTGAGCCAACTCTCCTTTATCACTTGCTTCTTTGGACAACCCCAAGCACTTATACAGGCTGGACAAACAACGGATTGAGAGCACCCTTGAGGAGAAAGACTTAAGGGTGTTGGTTGACATGAAGCTCAACACAAGCCAGCAGTGTGCACTTGCAGCATGGAAAGCCAACCGTATCCTGGGCTGCATCAAATGAGCATGTCCAACAGGTTAAGTAAGGTGATTCTGCTCCTCGACTCTGCTGCTGTGAGACCCCCTTCCTTCAGCACCACATTCAGCTCTGGAGCCCTCAACATAAGAAGGACATGGATCTGTTGGAGTGAGTCCAGAGGAGGCCATGAAGATGGTCAGAGGGCTGGTGCACCTCTCCTATGAAGACAAGAGAGGCTGAGAGAGTTGGGCTTGTTTAGCCTGGAGAAGGCTCAGGGGTGACCTTATAGCAGCCCTCCAGTACCTAAAGGGGGCCTACACGAAATCTGGAGAGGGACTTTTTACAAGGGCATGTAGGGATAGAACAATGGGGGATGGCTTTAAAATGAAAGAGGGGAGATTTAGATTGGACATTAGGAAGAAATTATTTCCTGTGAGGGTGGTAAGTCACTGACAAAGGTTGCCCAGAGAAGCTGTGACTGCCCCACAGCAGTGTTCAAGGACAGGTTGGATGGGGGCTTTGAGCAACCTGGTATAGTGGAAGGTGTCCCTGCTGTTGTGGTTTAATCCCTAAGAAGGAGAAAAGTGACTGCTACAGCTGAACCCAGGATACCTGCCCATGGCAGGGGGTTGGAACTAGATGATCTTTGATGTCCCTTCCAACCCAAACCGTTCTATGATTCTTGAACTACAAGGAAGATCAGCTAAGTCTCCTCTGCCTGTCGCATGTACAGGCAATACAGCTCAGTTGAGTGCCCTGCGGGAATTGCTGCTGTTCCTGTATTCTCTTTTTAAATCATCAGTGTTCCCAGCAAGTCTATGACAAGTGGCTTTTACTGAAAATATTTATCTTGTGGTACTGTACTGTTAAACTGCTAGAAATGATGATTTGGTCTGAATAAAATAAGTTTTGATTACTATTTTGGAAAGAAAAAGTGATTACGCATATAAAGAATGCCCAAAAGCTTAGGAAGAAGTTGAACAACTGAGAAAGCCTACAAACTGGTTTAGACCTTCTAAACTAGTATATAAGCCTTAAGTATATGGCTAAACTGCATTCATCTTCGACCCTTTAAGAGAGTATAGTAGCAGTCTAGCATTTAATATGTCTTTGTGAAACATAACCCCAGCCTGGGTTCCAAAGCAAGTGTTTGCACACACACACATACAAACCCACAGCCCCCAAGTGGTGTAAGTACTCACCATGACACAGCTGCCCAGGCTGAGGTGCTGCAATTCTGAGCAGAAGTTCAGAATACTAAGCAGGGCTGTTTGCTGCCACGGGGGAACGCATCAGAAGGAAATATGGAAAGTGAAACAAAGAGAAGAGGTCAATTAGACATTAAAGGCTGTCACTGCATATCCTGAAATACAGCTCAAAACTCTGTTACAGACACCACAAATGTCACTTAATGAGTCCCTGGGTATTTTACCCATTGACTGGCTTAAAGCAACGGTAATCGTTACAAACCTTTATGCAAGTCACTTTGGATGTGGTTTTGCATTGCCCTGAAGATACCTATACACTCATGACCTATCTGCTCATTTCCCACAGGAAAGCTGCTGAAGAAGCGTGGCAAGTTCAAACAGGCAAGGCCAGCCCAAAAACACAGAGGGCTGACGACATACCAGAAGAACAGCAGAGGCTCTGACATTCACTGATCAGCTATGGCCTGATAGAACTGCCAATAGAGGTGAACAGCAACAGGACCGAGCTGATGACTTTAATGTCAAAGGAGTCTCCATGCTGACAAGGATGCTGACAACCATTGAGCACTTGTCACTACTAGCATGCAAACTGAAACAGATATAACATGCATTTTACAGTCATGTTCTTGCCATTTTACATGGCCATTCTTTTCAGAAAGTACTGCACACTGCTCAGCCTGAAATTGGACTGGAATATCAGATGCATCTTATGAAAGTACAATGTTGTTCTGTTCCACAACAAAGGAAACTTCGTGAGTTTTTGTGTTTCCAAGACACAGAAAAGACTCTTGTGCATTGTCTGTAGCCATATTTTGCTTTGTAGTTTGAAATACAGTGCAAAAAAGAACACGGTCTTGGATTCAAATCATAAGTAGCTATGCATCATACTTCAATACAGTCATCACTTTGTTAGGACTTTGTAATCTGTATGAGCACGAAATCAGGAGTAAGTTTCACAAAATACTAACAACACAAGTGTGGACTTCTACAGGATGCACAACAGTTTCTAGAAGAAAAAAAAACAAACCCCAAGCGATATACAACGGACAAAATGACCCTTAGCTAATAAGAGGAATTCCTACAAGAACACTATCTAACAGTATTTGTATGCATGGGTAGCATAATTTATGCAGGTTGCTTGGTTTTGTTTTGTTTTTTTAAATATGAATTTACCTGTTTTCAGGAAGTTTACAGTTTAATGCTTTATTTAGTTTCTTCAGTTATATTCTAATGAAACTTGGCAGGAATATGATTCTTTGTCATACCACTGTGAAGATAAATTTGATTCCCTGCACTGAAAGGCTGGCAGACACAAAACAGGGGCATAGTACAGGGTATTCATGGAGACCATTTCAGACATCTAATTTACGTGTCTCCAGGGAACAACGGGGAACACCCAAACCTTAACATCTATGGAACTTCAGCTTCCAACTTGGCCTTTCAAGATATGATTTACCAAAGGCAGCCTAAATGTAGACACTACACATGTATCTTTGCAGAGTCTCATAAAGCCACTGGCCGCTTGTCTGCTTTAGTTTCATTCGTGTTTTTACAGAAAAAGGTAGCTAGGAAATTAAACACAAGCATTAAAAAGTCATTATTAAAGAGGCAACACTTAAGAACACTTTAAAGCTAGTAAATGTGTGAATATCCAGTAATGTACTTATTGAGCAAATGCTTCACTGTGATCATTAAAACCAGAACAAACAAGTAACTCCAAGAGAATACGACATAGTCTTTACTATTTAACTCAGTGCAAGCTATGAGCTTTAGAACCTACTCAGGTGTAAAAGCTGAAAGCAAAATCCCCAACCCCCTCTCTACAAACCTTAAATACCGAGCTAAATAAATTAGTCTCTGACTGCACACATTTCTAAAGAGGGTTTCTGCAGGTATTTAGGTGATTCTGGAGGAAAGCTGAATACCTTGCTGCATTCCACCATAGTTTTTAGTAATGGTTTCCAGACCAGAATATAAACACTGGCCTGAAAGGACTGAAAACAGCAATATCTTTCTTTAATTAACACACACAATGTGAAAGCAAACTGTCACTGTGAACAGCCAGGAAAGATTAATTCCATACACCGTGTCTTCAGAGAAGAGTGAAATAGGTAAGACGACTAATATTCATAGTTATCTTGATTAGATAACAGCTATTTTTGTTAACTTGAGCAGTAACTTGATTCATCTCAGAATACCTTTTTTAGTTCCTCTCTAATGTGAGACAGTCCCTTCTGTATTAATGTGCACTGAGTCCACATTTTCAAAGGTCTTTTCACAACCCATAAACTTTGAAGTATTATTAGAAACAATTATTTAAAAAAACCCAAACACACAAACAATTTAAGAAAAAGCACTAGGAATGTAGGTAATAGAAGGAAGACTGATAGAACACCATGATGTACCATCATAAATCATGCCAAGTCAAGCCCAAGTGTAAACAATTTACCCAACATTAATTACACTGGCTATATTAATTCCTCTTCTGGGGCACACACATGCCTACACACAACAAATCAGATTTCTTTCAGAAGCAGTGTCTGTTTTTCTGTAACTGAGGTGGGGTTTGCATATGTCAAGAAAGAAGAAAAAAACCCTTTGTGCATGCCTACTTGTGCCTCAGTCAATTGAGAATCCAGGTGGCAAAAGACATGAAAATAGCAGAAGAGAATGGCAGCTCACAGAATCCATATGTACTACATATAGAAGGACTATCATTGTAATAACCTGTCTGTTTCAAGCCATCTGTCTCTACAATTCATCTCTCTGACTTTCAATGCAAGATGAGTGATAACACTCCTATTTAAGCAAAGGAGAAGAGCGAGGCAATCACCCAACCCTGAAACTGTAACATAAGGCCAAACTTTGATGTTAGAGTGCTTTACAAGAGCAGCTAAGAGGCCACCTAAATTCTGGATCAGTGAGCTTTAACCTGGAGTCTTGTTTCACTTTCTCAGCCAAACAGAGACAGTCAAACCAAAGACTACCCATGCAATACCATTCTTGAGCCTAGTAGCCAAGAGGTGCATAGTTTGGAGATTTTCTGACTTTTACTGAACCAAAGGTAAGGTGTGGTTCAATAAACAAAAACCCACAAAAAAACCAACCCCACTCTGAAATGAAACAAAAGCTACCATTTTTTGTGGAGTAATGTATGCATGGCTTTAGTGTGTTCTAAATTTGTTCTGCCATCCAAGCCAAAACAAAAGCTACTAAAGTAATCGACTTTTATGAGATAGCATACACTACAGGAAGAGTTCAAAGGGACCAAATAAAATGCTTCATTCCAGGAAAGGTGTTTTCAGATAAGGAAAACATACAGCATGGGAGTTGCTTGAAGAGAGAAGACTCTTGATATCAAACTGATCATCATCATGATACTGCTGCTAAACACAAGCTTACAGAGCAGATTCCAGATATGTTTTAGGCCACGGCAGTAAGCCCTACACCTCAGAAAATGAGAGCACACTGCTTGAAGAGGCTCTGAAGTCTCTGAACAGTCAGACAAATATCTGCCAGAAAGCACATCAACAGTACTGATCCTGCCTTGGACAAGAGATTAGATTAATGCTTGAGAACCTAACTCACTCCAGATGAGAAGTCTGCCCAAACATGAAAGTCTGTAACACAGGGCAGTCTGGAAGACATTTATGTGTTGTGTACGCTTCAATAGCTGATACTGGAATTCTACCTTGTTTTTTTAAAGACCTGAGACATCACATGGAAGTTTTGACTTAGATGTTTCAAGAGTGTTGCTGGTTTGCACAGACAACCCATCAGTGAAGAAACCAAATACTGGTGTCCGAGTAATACACTTGGCAATACTGAATCTTGCTTGACCTTTTTTTTTCCAGGACTTTTTGCATTCATGATCCAACAGGAAGTACAAATCACTTCTGATGTTAGTATGATAAGGAAAGCATCTAACAGATAGCCTGAGCTCAATATCCCTTCAAATAGAAAAACCACCTGTCTGTGGCAGATATGGCACACCTGTGAAAGATGCACTTCGAATATTAGTCATTGCAGTTTCATTGTCAAATACTCAAAGACCAAAAAACAACACGCAAAAGGTGTAAAATAAATACAAACACACTATAATATGGCTATCACATAATGGTTGCACTGTAATAAAAGGCAGGAAAATAAGATTAAAGGAAGAGCTAAAAAACCCCAATGTTTAAACTTTAAGGTTGGGGTAGGGAAGAAAAAGTCTGCACCTTTTAATAAACCTTCTTTTTATAGAGAGATCTTAAAACCAGCTTTCAAAACTGGGGGGGGGGGGTGTGTGTTGGGTTTTTTGGTTGTTTTTTTTTTTGTAATGCTGGGAACAAAGGGCTGTCTTCTCCCCTTCTCTGAAGAACTGTGTCTGACATAAGTTGGGAACTCTTCCAGCTGCTCAACGAAACAACTTGAGAGTCTAAATCTTTTACAAAACTTTTATTCTCCTGCAATTTCTTCTTTAAGATTTTCAGTGAAGTGAATGCTGAGAGTAATCTTAAAGTCTCATTAAAGACTGCTTCCACCCTTCTTTAAATATGGTTTCCCTTCCTTGCTATGTTTTTAATCATAGAGTTACTATTCTCTAGCTAACCTTTGTTCAAGAAAACTCTCGAATTACATAGGACTTAAATTTGGGGGTTTCTTTAACATTAAAAATTAAAGTTAGGCATATATAAAAATAAAATATCCTTTAATACCCATTCCCCCCAATTATATTATATGAGAGGACAAAGTTGTATTGTTTTTTCTTATAATTTCCAAGTGATGACCTAATCTCAAGCCCTTCCTGACTCATCCCCCACAAACTCTGTTGTCTCCACTTACATTCAAATAACTCTGTAACATTAGTTGCAGGCAGATATCAGGTAACATGCCTACATTTGCAAGATCACCACAACACGAATATTGCATTTTTCCACAATACCAAAGAATTAATTATGTTCCTAAAGACTACAATTTCATTTTCGTACTTATTTCTCTCCCCATCAAAAAAATGCATCTTGAAGAGTCTTTGCATTGAGTTGCCTTTGCATATAAATTTATGAGGCTGTTATATTTAATAA